TCCTAGGAGGACTAGGTGGATTTAAGTAAATCCATTATATTTCGTGTAAATAAGTATCTGTTTATACTTAAAATATATATAATTCATCATAAACTACAAAATAGAATGACACATGTATTATGAAGTATTGGAACATAATGAAAACATGGAGAACAAGCATATAGTGTGTGCTCACTTAAGTATTCAACAAATCTCTTACAATTTATTGAAAAAAATTAAATGCAAATTGAAAGTTATCTATTTTCTGTCTAAGTGAGTTACAACCTAGGCAGGTGCCTAGGTGGCTCTGGCGGCCTAGGCAGGTGCCTAGACGGTTTAGGCGGGCGCCTCAGCTAGTCTAGGCATCCTTTCTTAATTTTGAAATGCCTAGGTATTAATCGAGACGATGACCAGCCGCCTAACGCTTAGGCGGGGCTTAGGTAACGCTAGACGGGGATTTTTAGAATAATTACACTAGAATAGTGCTTAGAAAATAACGATGATGAATGTTGTTGCTTCTGATAGTTACAAAATTAACTATACTTTATCAAGTTTAAATTATTTTTTGTGTTGGCATTCTGAATCACACCCCCTCATAAAAGATAGTGACTAAATGAAGTATATTTTTATAATAATCCTACTCATATATTGTCATCTTATGCTTGTCGATACAAGTATATGCAAGCTCACTACTGGTGCAATTTAAATGGGAATACCTGATTATGAGTGATTTTGAATTAAAAAGTTTTAAAATATTTCGTCAAATTAAAATTCGAAATCAAAATTTTTAAATTAAAAAAAAAAACCACTGAATTGAATTAGATAGGAATTGAAATGTAATTGAATATTTCTCGAAATTGATACTCTTTTTTTTTTTTTAACTTTTTGGATTGGAATTTGAAACGTGTATTTTCAATCCGATTGGTAAAAATTTAGGCCTAGTGAGGACTAAGGAGAGAGAGACTTTATGTCAACATGGAAGCTATATTTAGACGACGGATTATCAAGTGGTAAGAGATTTGGACAACACTAGTCTCATTTTAAATTTAAAAAAAATAAATAAATAAAACAAATAAATAAATAAATAAATAAGCCATGATCGTAAAACAAGAAAGCCACTCCTTCGTCCTATATAAGTAAAGGACTCCGCGCATGAAGGATACAAGCAGAATTCTTGTCAGAGCTGAGTCAGACCCAAAAGAAAAGCTGAAATCACCAACATACAAAACCAAGTGCGCAGGAGGAGACACACCCTCAAATGAAGCTTCAGCAATGGCGTTAATGGCAACCAGAACAAACTTCTTTAGGCTCCTCACAACAAAAGCACCAATTTTGGGATCTGTGTCTTACTCCAATGGCCTCAAGCGACCGGTTCGGGTTGACCGGGGCGGTGGAGCCGGGTTGACGTCGCCGTATTCCACCTCTGCGGTGGCGCAGCAGCCAGAGTCCGGGATCATTGGGTCGAGGCCACCGCACATGGGGTTGGAGATATTGGGTGTGAAAGATTACGAAGATTATAGGAGGTCTTTGTATGGTGAAATCACTCACAAGGCTTTGCTTGTTGATGCTGTTGGTACCCTTGTTGTTCCTTCCCAGCCAATGGCTCAGGTCCTCTCTCTCTCTCTAACGCTTTACATGAACACCCACATTTTCATTTCTCAATTTTTCTATCTATGCTTGTAAATTGTAATAAACCTTTAGGCTTCTGGGTTTGTATGTATATGAATTGAACTTTTGGGTTTCTGGGTTTGTGTATAACTGCATAGAAGTTCTTGGATCTTGTGTCCTTTCTTATTTTCTTTCTTTCTTTCATTTTCCGTTTTGGTGTTTTGGGTTATGTTCATACATAAAAGATAAAAATCCAAGAACTTCTTGTGCATATTTCAATCGTCGGAATATATTTATACATAATAGATATTGATTATTTATGCATGTATTGAGTTTCTGAGTTTTTTGTGATAGAATTGGATTCCTGGGAATTTTCCTTTTAAAATTACATTTTGGTTGCCGTTTGTAGCTTTTTTGCAGGTTTTAGGATTTCTTTTTTTCTTGCATGATTATCTGTCTCTATGACTGCTGATATGCATCGATTTTTTTTTTCTGTTTGCATAGATATATAGGAAGATAGGCGAGAAATATGGAGTGGAGTACTCAGAGGCCGAGATTTTAAACAGATACAGAAGAGCTTACGAGCAGCCTTGGGGAAGATCTCGTCTCAGGTCTCTTCCCATCTTCATTTTCAATGTTTCTATTTCCCCTTGTATACTGGGGTACATATGGTTTTTGCTAATCCATTTGCTATCGTTTTAACTTTAAGTTTTACGTCTTTAGTTTTTTATTCGTTGGCATTTTATGGGATTGAAAATGTTTACATCAATTTTTGCCTGTAATAGCTATTATTTGGCATTTTGGAAGCTGGCTAGGAAGCTAATTCATAGCCTCTGTGTTCTAAAGTTTATCGGTAGAGATTTGATAACCGAATATTGACTGGAAAAGATCTAAAGTTTTTCATAACCGAGTATTGACTGGAAAAGATCTAACAATCTAATGGTCTTGTGGCTCCTTATTGTGTTTTGGGAAATATATTGGCAGTCCCCTAAAGTTTAGCATAGAGCTTACCCCCGTCTAGCCATTGTGTTTTCAATGGGGTTGGTTAAGAAGAAGTGAATCCTTTCTTGCTGTTTCTTTTCAGTGTCCCCTTTAGTCTCATTCATTAAATACATAAGTTTAGCGGTAAGCCTGCCATGTTTGGAGTGAATTCTCTGATTTTCTCTTTTATCTTTAAAGTGTGTGTTTCATCTTTTTTGTTGTAGATATGTAAACGATGGGAGACCCTTCTGGCAATATATCGTCAGTTCTTCCACTGGCTGCTCAGATTCTCAGTACTTTGAAGAGCTTTATAACTACTATACGACTGACAAGGTTGGGTAATTTTTAAGTACCATTTTCTGTATAGCAATATATAGGCATGAAGTGGGTTATAATATACTTCTGTGTTTTCTCATAGGCTTGGCACCTCTGTGATCCTGATGCTGAGAGAGTGTTTAAAGCTCTGAGGAAAGCAGGTGTCAAAGTAGCCGTTGTGTCAAATTTTGATACCCGATTAAGACCTGTTTTACATGCTCTACATTGTGAACAATGGTTTGATGCAATAGCAGTGTCAGCTGAAGTAAGTGAATTGCTTAGTATCTTTCTGCAGTATGCATGTCTTTGCGTCGTTCTCTCTCTCGCTCTCTCTCTCTCTCTCTCTCTCTCTCTCTCTCTCTCTCTCTCTCTCACGTATACACACATGTGCAAATTCTAGAATCTTCTGCAGTAAGCATGGTTCTTGAATTAGGTGATTGGTTGTCCATATTATCCATCGTTCAGAAACTATGAAGTTGAGTCCAACAAAATTAGTCTTTATTTTGCAGTAATTACAAAAGAAGGTGATACTGTCCTTGTTTAACTGCTACCCTCCGACAGACACAAAAAAGGAATGCAAAAGCTAAATGGGATTTTTGAGAATTCCATATTTGTATATATACATACAAAAAGATTTTAAAAAAATTGTTTTTTGGTTCTCCACATAATCTGTTGGTCTGATGACAGAATAGCTCTGTTGTTCGTATTGTTGTGTCATTGCTGATGCTATGATTATTTCATATGAACAGGTTGAAGCAGAGAAACCAAATCCAACAATATTTCTTAAGGCTTGTGAATTATTGGGAGTAAAACCTGAGGATGCTGTGCACGTAGGTGATGATCGTAGGAATGATATATGGGGTGCTAGAGATGCAGGCTGTGATGCTTGGCTTTGGGGAAGTGATGTTCACTCCTTCAAGGAGGTACGTCCCCGTCATATGTCTTTTTATGCAAAGGAAATTTTAGGCAAGGGTGTTATGCTGTATAATTTAGTCTCTGCATGTATTTTATGCGTATCTTTTCTAATCACCCAAAAATTGCACGTAATTCACTTTGCGTAAACTAATTACTTTTGTGCTGCTGATGCAGGTGGCTCAGAGGGTAGGGGTCCATGTTTAACATGATGTCGTATTATTATGCGACCTGAACGATGCTCGCTCTGTACAGGTTTTTATTTAGCTTCTTCAATGCGGGTGTTTTGTGTAATGTGCTTTTGTTGTAATATGTATTAGAGAGACGTGAAACCTAAGGACGAAAATAATGCTAGACATTTTTGTCTTATTTTTCGTGGAAAATGGAAAGTTCTGTACTTTCAGTTATCCTGCAGAAGTTTCGATTTCGTGCCAATTTAAAGTTAACAAAATGGTAAGTAACAGTAGCATCAAATTCTGATGGTACTAGAGACCACACTGATGGTGTGGGGTGGTGGTGGTGGTGGTGGTGGTGGTGGTGGTTGTTCCTTGTGGTTTTGTGGTGGCTTGTTTGGTGGGAAGTACGAGTTCACAAAGCACAGAATCAGAAACTACTACTCCCAGCTCAACACCAGTGAGGTTGAAGAGTTTGACTGACGTATATGCAAAGTGTCACATGATTATCAAGAAGTGGACTTTAACGAGACTTTTGCATTGCAACTGAAATTGGATCGATAAGGGTTCTTATTGCCTTAGCAGCTTAAAAAGGTTGGAAATTATGCCACCAGCGTATTTTTTTATTCAACCAAGGGTTCTTTCTTCCTTTGTTTTTTTAACATTGAAAGGAGTAGGATACACTTATTTTGATCCTAACTCATTACTCCGCCTCAACTCGCCATGTTAACCGACCAGAACGACTTACGTATTTCACATCTTTCGACATAAAGAAACGCATTGATCTCCTTCAATAAGTATAACTAGTTTGGGTGCAAAAACGTCAACCAAACCACTCAAAATGGAAGTGATTTTCCACACACCCCCTTTGCTTCCTTGTATTTTTAGCATTTGAGTTGAATAGAAAGGATAATCTAGGGACAAAATTAAAGATAAGTATGCAATGGAAGAAAAATGGCGTGCAAAACCCACTCAAAATTCGAATTTCGTGTAGACCAAGAGCATAACTAGTTTCATCATAGACAAGGAAGATTGAATTTGAAACTTTCTAACATTTAACTTCAAAAATTCATATTCCCTTTTAACAATACATTCATACAGGAAACAAAACCACCTCTGCTTACGCCGATTATACACCCAAGGCTGTGATGGGGTATTCCAAATATCATAAAAGATTCCAAAACTGCAAGACCTCTAGAAGGCAATGCTACTTGTTCCCTAGAAGAAGCTCTAAAGTTTAGAAAGGTGAGAAAAATACTCCTCTATCGTCTTCTGGTTTAACCAGATGAAGGTCCAGCTTGGGTTCTGCTCTTGTAGTAACTCCCAAATCTTTGGGCAACCGCAGCATCATACGTTGTATCCCATACCTGCAAATTCAGCCATTAAATTAGCGATCGTGATACACCATTGAAAAGCTGCCTTTCAAAAAGTGCAACGATAAACAAGATACAGAAAGACAGCTCACTTCCAGTTTCCCTTTTGAGCCTCCTATGGCCAGCAAAAAAGGGTTATCTTCTGCAAACGAAATAGAAAAGACAGCTCCCTGACAACATTCAGAGCAGAGTCCAACAATCAATCTCACATTAAACAGAAGAAACAGAAGAATAACTCGTTGCATTAAAATGATGAACTATGATCAATCACTTACTGCTTTAGGATTCCTGGATGAAATGCATGAAGGTTGGTTGTTTGACAAATCCCAAAGCTTTACCTGTAACAAATGGTAGTGGATACATTATAAAACATTCCAATCTGCCAGGTATGCGAGTGTGCAGTTAGTGAGAAACACTTCATACCATTTTATCTGTGGATCCAGTTGCAAGAAGCTGGAAAAAAAAAAAAAAGGTGAGATTACACATAACTCGGCGATACAAAAAGTACACCAAATTGAGGGGAAAAAGAGGACTGTACATTCGGTGCTGCAGGGTTATATGAGATTGAGCATACAGCTTTGTCATGAGCATGAAGAGTAAAACTCGGTTTAGACTCGGAAGAAGGAGCAGATGTGGCAGCCCGAATATCAAAACCTTTGATTGTGCCGTCTTCTAGGCTCACCTGGATGGATTTACAAAATGTAATGATCAATAAAGGATAATTCTCATTTAGCCACAGAGCAACTCTTTCCACATATTAACAAATAACACGAAAAGTGATAAACAAAAAGCAAACACTTTGTGATAAGTACGAAAAAAGACTGTCTTAAGAGACAAGGCACACACCACAAATGAATGCTCAGTGTGTGGATCCCATGCTAAGCTTTCTACATCAGCTGTGACTGTCCACTTATACCCGGAATGTGATGGCACCCTCCCATCTTTCTGGAATGAATAACAATTGTAAATGCACAAGTCAAATAAATTTTCAAACAAATAAGTTTCTTACGACCGCCTAAGTTTCTAGGATAACAAATAAATACCAACAGAGTAACTTTGTAAAACATTAAATACCAAGACTACTGTATGATCAAAAGAACCACTGAGAAGAACTTGCGGGGCAAAATGATTCCATGCAACTGCCTGAACCTGTAAAAATAGTATGAAGATGGTTAATGAAAAAATTTGAAAGGAAAAGTAACTCCTTAAAATGAAGATCTCAGGATTGCATTTGTTCTATAGCATGCCATCGAAAATTTGATTTCAGGTTCGAGCATAGAAAATCAATCCTGTCTAAATTCTTGCCTTGTCTGTATGGTGCTCCATGGTAATATTACATTTTCCAGTAGCCACATCCCAAATCTTAACTTGTTTGTCAGCACTTGCACTAGCAAGTATATTTCTGTTTATAGGAAAAGACAAGATAGTTTATGAACCTTCCACTGAAGCAACAACAGGTAGTACAAAACTCTAGAAGAGTACAAACCTGTACTCCTTATTCCAAGCAAGCCCGAGAACTGAATCTCTGTGACTGTCTTCTTTGTATTTGATTGATACCTAATACAAAGGAAATTTCAGAATTGGTAAAGAAAGTTAAAAAGAGTTGCACGATTATCAAAAGCCCAAACAGTGAAAGAATTGAGCATTGAACCTTCTTTCCTTTCTTTTTTTTCTTCTCAGCAATACCACCCAATATCACGCATGGTTGCACTTCATCAATCTGAAAAACAGCAAAAAATGTTAGAAATTACAATTAACATTTCCATCAATTACCCACACAAACCTATGCAATGAGACTAGTATCCATGAACTACATACAATGTCAAGATCCCATATCTCAATGGAAGGTTCATCCATTAAACCAACAGCAATGAAGTTTCCTGTCAACGTAGAAAACATTTAGACATCAACTAAATATAAAGTAAAGCAAAGCCAAAACTGAAATTTGAAAAAAAAAATTAGATAAAATTGCAATTGATATCAAGGAAAACAAGTATTCACAATGTATAAGATAATCGTCTTTAAACTTCACCATAAGAGGGAGCTCATGGTAACAGAAATTTTGAGCGGAATAAATCTAATTTTAACAAAATTGTACTTGCCATCAAAGAAAAAAAACAGTGAAAAAGAACTTTATTAGAAGAAGATATTACAATTCTTCTAAAAACAGATTCTAACTATAAATATAATTCACGTATATGAGTAACCTCCAGATGTTTCAAACAAAATGCGCACGTAACACATGAAAAAATTATCCAAAGTGTGATAAAAATGCAATTGATATCAAGGAAAACAACTATTCATAATGCATAAGATAATCGTCATTAAACGTCACCATAAAAGAGAGCTCATGGTTACAGAAATTTGAGCGGAATAAATCTAATTTAAACAAGTTTGTACTTGCTATCACAGAAAAAAAACAGTGAAAACAGAACTTTATTAGAAGAACATATTACAAAATTTCCTGAAAACAGAAGAAATTCTAACTATAAATATAGTTCAGGTACATGAGTAACCTCCAGAAGTTTCAAACAAAATGCATGAGTAGCACATGAATCGCACCTTTGTCTCCACCTTTGAGAGGACAATCAAGCCATGCTGTGCAAAGGGGAAATGATGAAAGGATGACGTCATGGTGAACAAAAACATCTGCTTCACCATCTTTTGATTCAACATACAGCCATATCTGCTCGTACATAATTCAATTACGATCAGTGGAAAATAGACAAGAAAAAGGAAACAAATAATTTAAAAAACTATTACATGCCTCAAGCTGGCTGACTTCATCCTCGTTGCGGGCACAAACTATGACTGCATCACTTGGATTAATTGTCATGTCATCACTGTCTTCAGAATCCTCGTCCTTTGAGGAAATAAAAATGAGAATGAAAAACCAAGTTGCTCTCCTAGCCTCACAAAAGAAGGAAAGAAAACAAAAACAATGGCATAATTTACGTAGTAAAAAACTTACATCATCCTTTTCCTTCTTTAGATATGGATCCATATCGTTACTTGGGTAGTAAAGGTCCCCAACCCCACTACTAAACACATCAATGCCTGAGATCAGACATACGAAGATGCACTGTTAGCTATAAATCCTAATCAACACTCATGAGAAGAAGCATATGGTAAACTTAATCAAATTACTAGTCAGTAACTTCTTCAATGCTTCAAGTTCAACATTGTATAATACATCCATTTTAATTGAAGATAGTTGACGTTCCACCATAAAACCAATTGGCAATATCAGAAGTAGCTCAATTACTTATAAGCAAATGCAAGGTCCCTCCTTTCCCCGATGTGGGATTGATATGTACTAACAAAACTTAATCAAATTACTAGTCAGTAACTTCAACAATGCTTCAAGCTCAACATTGCACAATACCTCCACTTTATTGACATGGTAAAACCATATGAATTAACAAAACCATCTAACTGTAAACTAAAGAAAAAGAAAATTTTACAGATCTCACAAGACTTCAAGATTATTGACCAAAAAAAAAAAACACTATCAAGTTTAACTCTGAGCAACAGTTTGATTGCCCATCCAACATCTCCAGCTTAAGCAACATTGTAAGTAACCCCCTCTTATGCTCCAAAAATAATTTCAAGAAAATAAAGAACAAAGGGAAATACCATCATCCTCATCGTCATAATGTTCCATGTCAAGTTCCCTCAATCCATCGGCTATGTCATCAAATTTGGCCCCTGGCTCGGTAACTTTAGGAGCTCTTCCGAGTGCTTTTGCCACCTCTAATGCTTGGGAGACTTGATCACCCTGCTTGGGGATTTCAACATCCATTTCTCCATCATCGTCCTCACTTTCAGCATCTCCACTGCAAAATCAACAACCCATCAAAACCATACAAATCAGTGAGTCGAAAATGAACACCCAAACCGCCCAGAGCTTCATATCCCAATTCACTAACCACATTACACATACACTACACTGGAAATTCAACCCTTTCCCACTTGGTTCAAGAAATAAACAGCCACCCTCCACCAAGTTTTTAACTTTTCGGAGAATAAAAAATTACCCAATTATTCATTTCAAAGAAAGTGAACATCTTTGACACAAAATTTGAACTACCACCAAACATCAATAAGTTGAGAGCTCTGCAACAATGGCAGCTAAAGGAACATCAATGTTCCCGCAACCAGTACAGCACTCTACGACAGCAAACACAAAGACATACAAAATGAAAAATGAGAAACGAGGCGAAGAAGTTTCACCTTTTCTCCAAGGCGCCGGTTTTAATCAGCTCTTCGATTTCCTCTTTGGTGGGCGGGTCGGCGACGGAGGGAACCGGCTTCGAAACCCCTTTGGGCACCCACGAAATTGCTGATATCATTATTTCTTCTTCTTTTCGAAACTGGGTTCAATTCAATCGCTGTGTTTTGGTGGAGGTTTAGGAGGTTTAGGAAATTTGGCGGTGTAGCAAACTGTTTTCAGCTGCCTCTCGTTCGCCTCGGTGAGAAGTAGGGTATCCAATAAAACTTCAATTTCGTTTCTCTTTTCTGAGTAATTCCACATGCGCCCCGGTGAGTTTCAACGGTTGTTTCATTTTGATCCCCAAACTTTGTTTTTTCTTCCCCAGTTGCTCCCTAATTTAAAGACATGCTAATTAAGTACAAATGTACAATAATGACGAGTTTGATACTAATTTCTAATCAGACATGTTTTAAAAAACAGCATATCATATATGGTGGGACAATAGGCTTCGGACCACCACATCAAGACTAGTGGAATGACGAGATCAGATCTCGGAGCTTGAAGCAACTCGTGAAACCCGAACTAGGATTATCATCATAAGGACTGTCAGAGCATGTCATCTTCAAGGAAAACGCACTTTCCAAAGCATATTTAGGGGCATTTGTGTGATCATGAATTTTATTGGACCGGAGTAAGGTGGATCAAAATATGAATACCTTAGAAGTCCTATCATGGACTCAATGGCTCATATCAGAACAAACCCCCTAAACGGACCAATGATGCCACTACATCTTGTTGGGCTCTGAAATTATAGGAGCATGCTTACTCTGCAAAGACACGAAAATCTAATTCAATTAAGGATCAAAATGGTTTAGTATGAACGTTACATTTGTAGATCGAGTGGGAGAATGTTTGATTTATTCCAATATAAATCAACCATGAGTGGTTTACAATGTAATAGGAATGTAATATTGGAGATTAATGTTGAGATTGTGATTTTATTTCCTCTTAATCGATCTGATATTTTGTCTTGGAATACAGTTAAGATTGATTTTAGTCCTTACCAATTATGTAATTATGAAAACTAACTGATAGGCTAAGAAAATGGGTGTTGGGATACTTTTATAAACGAAACCCTAGTACCTTAGCCAATATAAATACTAAGGTCCTTGCAAACCCTAAATACACAATAAAATCTTCCCATAAAGTAGTTGTATTGGGCTAGGTTTTTGTAAAAGGTATCGGTATTGTTAAAGCTTTTCTTCGTTTCTGATCAACCCAATGGCTGTTGTTGGAGATATTTTCAAGCTAGTCATCTTTCTTTTAATTTTGTGTTTTAATCGTATAACCATATCAAGCTAACAAATGCGATACCTGTTGGACTTGTCCGACATAAATCAACCTAGATATGGTCTACTACATGTAATAGGAGTGTATCATTAGAGAATAATATATATTGTGATTTGATTACCCAATAGATATCAATCTTATATATTATGAGTCTTATATAGGAAATAGGATTGATGAAATCCTTACACGATTATGATTATGATATATTACTTGGAGGCCAAGAAAGTAGATTTTATGTTTCCTTTATTGATGGAACTTAAAGTTTTTGGCCTATATATATATACCGGTCCCTATGAACCTAAAAAATACACGACAACAGCTTCCCATAGAGCATTATGTTAAAGTTAGGAATTCATAGAAGGCTTGGTATTGTTTTCTCTTGGTGCGAGTTGTTTCTATGGCTGCTGCAGGCAATACATCGGTTAGGTTTCTTTCATGTTTACATACTATTATCATGCATGCAGTGTTTTAGTTATATAACCTAATTAAGATAACAATTGGTATCAAAGCCCTAGGTTCTATAGTTAAAACCTGCAATCACAGCTATAATCAATGCTTGTATAATTTGTTGAGTGAATGGTGCATTGGTGCCTATAAAGTCTGTGTGATCAATATGTATATGTTATCCGGTTAGATCATATACTCAAGCCCTAGCCGATTATCATGAAATAGTTGAATAATATAATCAAGTTACTGTTCACAATTGCATTCGAAATCATAACATAGATGCAGTTTATCTGCTTATAGGTGTTGATCGTGTTTTCATGGTTAGTTTTTGAATGGCATAACACAATATATGCATTAAACTAGTTGTGGTTTTTCTATCTGCTTATATGTGTTAGAAACTACCATGAAGGTAACTAATATAATGTATATGTTAGTGTTAGAAGCAGCTTAATTCATCAGCTCCTAAGTGTTGAATTAATCTTGTCTTATGAAGTTTATTGGGATGTTTAATTTTTAAAGTATGCATGTTGTACATTCAGTTATGAATGTTGAGAACACAATTCAAACCTTAAGTGGTACAAACTACAAAAAGTGGAAGCAAGACATAGATATATGTCTGGGGTTGATGGATCTTGACACAACTATAAGGGAAGACTCTCCTTAAGAACCTTTTGCAGATGCAACTATTGATGTCAGGGCCAAATACAAAAGATGGTTGAAAGCAAATCGTATTGCTCTTCTGGTGATCAAAAAGTCCATGTCTGACACAGTGAGGGGAGGAATACCGGAATCTGAGACTGCAAAAGAGTACCTGACCTCGATTCATGAGAAGTTTAAGGAATCAAACAAAGTTGAGACAGGTAATCTCATGAATGAACTCATGACAAAGAAATATAATGGCATGGGATGTGTGAGAGAGCATATACTGGAGCTACTGGATGTTGGTGTGAAACTGAATGCACTGGATATTCCTATGAATGATGCGTTTCTAGTTCATGTAGCGCTCAATTCATTGCCTAATGAATACTCACAACTGAAGAACACATATAATGCACAAAAAGAGAAGTGGAGTCTGAACGAATTAATTGCCATATGTGTACATGAAGAACAACATATTAGGTCTCAAATTTCTAAGAAGAAGGTCAAAATGGTTACTGATTTCAAGAACGATGCTCAAAAGACAAATAATGGAAAAGGCACATCAAAGCTTGGAGTGAATAAGAATTTCAAAAGTGTTAAAAGGAAGTGCTTCTTCTACAAGAAAACTGGACACATGAAGAGAAATTGTCAAAAATATAAAAAGTGGATTGAAAATGGCAAGGGAAAAGGTAATATTTCAATTTATAAAGGTGAAGTATTAGTTTGTTTTGAGACGAATAACACTGAATTTGCTAGAGATTCATGGTGGATTGACAGTGGTGCCTCAATACATGTGACTAATTCCTTGCAGGGCTTCATAGACAAGAGGGTGCCAAGAAAGGATGAAATCTCAGTGATCATGGGAAATGGTGACAAAGCTGTTGTCAAGTTCATTGGAACAGTTAGAATAAAGCTAGAGTCTGGTTTTATTTTGGATTTGAGAGATGTTTTTTATGTTCCTTCAATTAGAAGGAATCTAGTGTCAGTTAGTCAGCTTGTTAAGAAAAATTTTGAATTATCAATAAATGATAGTGGCTTCATTATTTATCAGAATTTGCAAGTTATTGGAAATGGTTCTCATATTGGTGGCATGTTTCAACTTAACTGCAAGGAATCTTGTTACATGGCTAATATGGTTGGACAAAAATGGCTTAATCTAACTGAGACATCATCCACCCTCTGGCACAAAAGATTGGGTCACATTTCAATTGAGAGAGTTAAGACTCTGAGCAAAATTGGTATATTACCAAAGCTAGAGTTAGATAATTTTGTCACATGTATTAAGTGCATAAAAGGAAAGATGGTTAATTCGCACAAGAAGAATGCAACGAGAAGCACCGATCTACTTGAACTTGTGCACCCTGATATATGTGGACATTTTCCCACTCCAATATATGACGGTTATAAGTATTTTATAACTTTCATAGACGACGTTTCAAGGTATTGTCATTTGTATTTGCTCTCTAAGAAGTCTAATGCACTTATGGCTTTTAAAATCTACAAGGCTGAGGTAAAGAAATAGTTGGAGAAAATGATTAAGGTGGTAAGGTCCGACAGAGGTGGTGAGTACTATGGGAGATACACTGAACATGGCAGAAATCCTAGACCTTTTGCACTTTACTTAGAAAATGAAGGGATAGTGGCACAATACATGAACCCTGGTACTCCACAACAAAATAGAGTATCATAAAGGAATAATCGCACATTAAAAAACATGGTAAGAAGTATGATGAGTGCAACAAGCTTGCATGTGTACTTGTGGGGTGATGCCATTAAGACTACAAATTATATATCTAATAGAATGCCTGGCAAATATATAATTACAACACCTTTTGAATTATGGTACAAAAGAAAATCGAGTCTACAACACCTTCGAATTTGGGGTTGTAGGGCTGAGGCAAGGGTATATAACCCTCAAGAAAGGAAACTAGATCCTAAGACAGTGAGCTGCTACTGTGTGGGATATCCTCAGGGAACAAAAGGTTACAGGTTCTACTACCCTAACCACTCTATGAGATTTGTCGAAACTGGAAAGGTGGAATTTATAGAAGAAGGATCGATGGAAGCAACAAGTAATGAAATTGAATTTAAAGAGCAAAATGAAGAAATTGCAGCTGATTCATTGCATCATATTACACCAAGTGAAGACAACCATTTAGCCTTGGACCATGTTGCTCCAATCACGAATGATGGTGTACACGAGATTCAAATGAATGTGAATAATGATGTAGTGAACGACCAAGTGATACATGATGATGCAAATAATGCACTGCAAACACAAAATCAAGCTGTAGAAGGAATTATGGACCAAGTTGCACTTGCACTCAGAAAGTCAACAAGATTGAGAAAACCTGCGATCTTAGATGATTTTGTTGTGTATTTAAATGAGGTTGACATTGACATTGGGGAACCATTAACTTACAAAGAAGCAATGAACAGTGTACAACAAGTAAAATGGCTAAAGGCTATGGAATCAAAATTTGAGTCAATGCAGAAAAATGAAGTCTGGGAACTTGCAGTTTTGCGAAAAGGATCAAAGCCGATTGGATGTAAATGGGTATACAAAACAAAGAAAGACTCAAAAGGAAATATAAAGAGACTAAAAGCCAGGCTTGTAGCTAAGGGGTACACTCAGCTAGAAGGAGTGGAATATAATGAAACATTCTCACCAGTTTCCACCAAAGACTCCTTCAAATTTGTAATGGCTTTAGTTACTCACTATGATTTATTTCTTCATCAAATGGATGTCAAAACAGCTTTTTTAAATGGTAAACTTGAGGAAGATATATATATGACAACCTGAAGGATTTATCAAAGAAGAAGAAAGGGAATTAGTCTGCA